CAACCTTGGATCAGTTTACATCAGCAGTGAAGACTGACCCCTTAGTCAGATTACATCAGCTCAATCACAGAATCACAGAATTGTTTAGGTTGGAAGGGACCTCTGGAGATCATCTAGTCCAAACTCCCTGCTCAAGCAGGGACCTCTCGAGCATATTGCCCAGGATCACATCCAGACGGGTTTTGAATATCTCCAGGGAAGGAGCCTCCACTGCCTCTCTGGGCAACCTGTTCCAATGCTCTGTCACCCTCACAGTGAAGAAGTTTTTTCTCAAGTTCAGATGGAACTTCCTGTGGTTCAGTTTGTGCCCATTGCCTCTTGTCCTGTCAATGTACACCTGTATTCTAATGACTCTTATTTGTGTTTGAGAGAGTAGGTGTCATATAAAACTGTTTCACTTAGAAAAAAAAAAAACAGTCTTTTTAAGGTCATACAACGATCATTTGAGGGCCCAGTTTTGCTGTTATTCTTGCAATATATAACTTATAGCTGGCAGGTAACTAGAAACAGTGTTCACAACAAGATGATTTATTTTCTTGGATGTGAATCACAGTTCTTCTTTCTATGCCTACCCTTACACATATATGTACAAATATTCTTTGCGAAAGACAACTTGACAGCTGCACTTCCAGACTGTTATCTTCTAGGAAGGACAAAAACAAACTGAACCTGCAACCATCATAAAAAGCACCTACTCACTAAAGTACAATGATATGCTTGAGCCAAAAACAAATGAGAATCATGCATTCCTCTGACACAAGGTATTCATTATTTCGGAATACCCTGACCTGTCCCCCATAAAATTGCAAATGCATTTCCTACAGCATCTTCATGGACTTTTCATTCCTCCTTTACTTACCGTAGTATTTAATATGCCTTTCCTCAAGTAAAGCCCCTCAGGTGGTGGTTTACGGCTTTCCCCAGAGCAGTGGAGAAATCATTCTTCTACTTGTCCTTTGCAGAGGAGGCATTGTTTTTTCTCTATCCAGAACAGGCCCCACCCCATGTTGTCCTTTGCAGTATGAGCTGGAACCTCCTCAGGTCTGGTTATCCCCAGGCTCACCTGATCACAATGCTCTCACAGGACATCTGAATACATCATTTTATTTAAATCTGTAACCTCCAAAGTTGCAGATAGCATGTTGGTATCATCCTGAGAGCCCTTTGTCCCTAACAGTGCCAAACAGCCTTAATGACAAAATAAAAAGCTTATTTAGTAAGATTTCAGGTCAGGATAGGAGACTAAAAACAAAAGGTTATGCATGTCGCAAATGCAAATATCAGCTGGGGTTGTGTTCTAACTGGATACCTTCTGAGACGCTTTTGCCTGTCTTGCCTCAGAGTTCCCAGACATATCTCATCAGCTGGAGCCGGGAATGCAGGCTTTTCAGCATCGCCCTTGTCTTCTAGGCATGAGCCAAGTTCTGAAATCTTCGAAGGCACAACAGAGGTGGAGGGAAGGATGTCCCCCCATCTTCTCTTCCCTCTGTCAATTCTCCAATGAACTTTAAAACTGTATTTTTCAGTTAGTCCCTTCTTCCTAGCATAAATAGCTTTAATATTGATAAAGCTTCTTGACTACTAAATTCTATGCCAATTGTCACTCTTCCTTTATCGTCTTTGGCTGTAAAAATAAGGTAAGCAAGTTTCTGTTGCTGCTTTCTGAGCAGGAAGAAACTCCCCAGACGATACCGTATCTCTACTTTATGACTGTTAACTTGTGCCTGGGTCTTATCGCCACCCTGGATTAGCTGAAGAGTGAACCCAGGCCTCATCTCGAAGATACTTTTACGTTCTCATTCAATGGCAAAAATCCCAGTGTCCTAGATACATGGCTTCATCCCAGACTATTGCTTATCTCATGGTAGTTACCTGGTCTTCAGCAAGGCTTTTGACACTGTCTCCCATCACATCCTCCTAGGTAAACTCAGGAAGTGCGGGCTAGATGAGTGGACGGTGAGGTGGATTGAGAACTGGCTGGATGGCCGAGCTCCGAGGGTTGTGGTCAGTGGTGCGGAGTCTAGTTGGAGGCCTGGAGCTAGCGGTGTCCCCCAGGGGTCAGTCCTGGGTCCAGTCTTGCTCAACTTTTTCATCAATGACTTAGATGAAGGGAGAGAGTGAACCCCCAACAAGTTTGCTGATAATACTAAACTGGGGGGAGTGGCTGACACACCAGGAGGCTGTGCTGCCATTCACAGGGACCTGGACAGGCTGGAGAGCTGGGTGGAGAGGAACCTCCTGAAGGTCAACCAAGGCAAGTGCAAGGTCCTGCACCTAGGGAGAAATAATCCCGTGCACCAGGACAGGCTGGGGACTGACCTGCTGGAAAGCAGCTCTGCAGAAAAGGACCTGGGAGTCCTGGTGGACAAGTTAAGCGTGAGCCAGCAGTGTGCCCTTGTGGCCAAGAAGGCCAATGGGATCCTGGGGTGCCTTAGGCAGAGTGTTGCCAGCAGGTCGAGGGAGGTGATCCTGCCCCTCTCCTCAGCCCTGGGGAGGCCACACCTGGAGTACTGAGTCCCTTTACTCTACTCACTCAACCTATGCTGTTTTAGGTTGTGTTCTGCTTCCGCCTGGGCCTCCCTTACCATCTCCTCATGAGGCTTAGATGAATGAGCCAGTAAAAGAAACCACTCTTCTAATGGATAGTTGGCAGAGAAAGAGACTACCAAGTATTTTACTGCTTCATCTATAGTTAGAGCAGGGGTCCTGAAGATTTTGTTTTCACCTCTCTAAAATAAGTTATTTTGGTTTACTTACCGAACACGTGTACGTTACTTGGGTGTATGTGCAATGCTGCTGCTCCTACTTTTCTACCTTTTGCTTTAGCAGCACTTGCTTCCTCCATCTCTGCACTTCAGAGAAGTTGCAGAGCTCAAGAACTTAAACATTAGCAAAATTATGTATTCTACGGAAGTATCAGAGGATTTGAAGATATTCATCTAACATTATATGTCTTACTGTCTGCAACCTCCTCCTGGGAATAGTCTTCCTCCACCTCCTCCTCTGGGACCACTTAAGGAACTGAATCAACCCATAACTTGTCTGACATCCCTAATTATTGCAGTGTTATCATTCAAGGATACTGTCAGATATAGAAGAGGGTGTAGTCTCCACATGAACATGCCTTCCTGCTCTCAAATCAAAGACCTTCCTTTAATTAGAGTCATTTAATTGATTTAGGTCCAAATGAAGCTTCACAGACAAGGACAAATCCAGATGAGACATCAAAAATAAGCAATACAAATTGCTCATTCATCCTATAATTATTAGATGTTTTCGAAACAAGCCTTGCAAGGAGGCTGAGGTCCCCTATTGTTTTTATCAGGAAGGGAAGAAAAAGCTTCTGTAATCATCTTCTTTTGAAATATATTTATAGAGAAGATGATTAAATGAATAAATGCAATAATCTAAAGGGTTTAGAAAGCAATTAAGACAAATTTACAAAACACTTAGAACAGCTACCACTATCAGAATGACGGGTAACTAAATCTTTCGCCTTGAAACATTCCTGGCAACATCTGCATTAGTTCTAGCCCGCAGTACACTTATTTTTGTGCAAGTCTTTTCAGGCATCATCTGAAAAGAATCTTGAGACAGCTACCAAACAACAGAATTGGACATGAATTTAGGGAATTAGGAATTAAAGCAACTTCCAGCAGCAACTCTGCCATTTCAGCTGAACGCATACAAAGGCAGAATCATTCCCCACTCTAGCTTTGATGATTTCAGACAGTGAAGGGCTTTTTTTATTTTAAGTGAGTCCGTTTTTTCCAGCTATATTAGTTAGTCTGACAAAAAGTATTAATTTCTCCCTATACATTATTTCCTTGTAGAATATCATGGATATATCAAAACTACTACCAAAAACACTGATTATGATAGACTTGTACATAATGACAAGAGTCATTCTAAGACCAACTGTAAAGGAGGATTAAACCTGTATTTCTGAAATGCCAATAACATGGCCACAGCATTTGAGACTGCACAAATGAAGACAGCAAAAATTTACAGCCAGATGAAGTCATTAGTAAGTAATGTAATTTTCCCCAAAGGACTTTTGGTATGAACTCCTGTTGCGGGTCAATGCATGGGGCAAGATTACTGCCTCCAGTCGACCTACACATTTTCACATCAGAGGGTTTCAATCCATAATGACAAGGTCAATAACGGAAGTTTAACAAGTTCTCCAGCAGATCATTAAACAGAAGACACTGGTGTTCGAAACGTGCACCTGATATCAAGAAAAAAATTGCTTTGAGGTTCCTAGAAATAAGTGTTTACTTAAGATGAAGACAAACGGGAATTCAATTGCAGTTCTTTCACAGTTAAGAGAACAATGAAACCCGTAAATATTTTCCACTCATTTAATTTAAAAACAAATTAACCTAATCTATGTTCTCATTATTTTCTGTATTTGCTTTCAGTCCTTACTATTGCAAGCAATTCAACTAGATGGAGTACTCAGAAACTGGCTTTTAAGCAATTACTACTGAGAGACCACTTTGAACTTACAGCAGTAAATATGCATACTGAGGGCAGATACATAAGTTAATTTAAACAAGCAGAGAGAAAAAGGAAAAAAATTATTCTATATAGACCCAACATATAGGCAATAAAAGTAAGGTGCAGAGCTGGCTTCTTAAGGCCTGTTATTCACTCCAGTCACTCTTCCCCCATCTCTAAGACTCCTCAGCAGCATACTGTTCTACCTCCCTTCCCCAGCGATTTCTGAAATCAAACTTTGTAGAATATTTCCTTTTTTTCCCCTCCTTGTTTCACGTAAAACAGTAGATCTCATGGCTTCTTCATCTTAAATGGCTTCCTCTACTCAAAGAGAAAAACGTTTGTCTTCTTCTGTGGTTGGAGTCTCACAATTTTAATCATTCCAGGTCTATTCCTAGCTTGGTTAAACAACTGAACAGAGCCACTATTAGTCAATACAGATCAGCCGAGAAAGCATGGCTGTATTCCTTTAGCACAGTATCACAAATGGCCAGAAATGGAAAAGCGCAGGTTTAATCAGAAATGTTAAGTTACAAATAAGGTCTTCAGTTGAAATAGCAATGAGGTGAAGGAAAAAGAACCATATCAAAACTCCTGCAAGGTTTCTGTTCTGGGATACAAAGTTAAAGTTTCACCTACAAAAGCTAATGAATGAGCCACCCAGAATACTAAAATAGGTGTAGTGCTTTATGTAATAAAATACATGCATTATCTAATAATCAAGAAGCAGTACTACCAAACTTCTAGGGTCTCTTCCCACACACATTTTCTTCTTTTCCTCTATGAATTTTATCTGGCCATTTTTCTGCGTTTTCTGGATGTTGGGTAACTCCTGCTCCAACTGGGCCACCAAATACCTAGAAATTCTTGATAAAGGGCCAACTCTGCATATATAAAACCAATTCTACAATTCATGTGCAGTGACTGCTGTAGCCAAGGTGAGTCAGACCTACTAGGCATATGCTGCACACAAGCTGTGCACCTGTAGCAAGCCTGTCATGTGCAGGATGCAAAAGAGAAACCAAAAATTAAGGATTTATTTACTCAGTACATGCAGTAAGCAGCTTGGAGTCTGACAATTTTTTATCCTGAGGCAGTAAAAATAATTATGCCTTTCACCAAAATCTGCCCCAGTCTGCTGAGAGTACACATCAGGACCACATATATTCCAGATGTGCTCACAACAGTAGAAGCACATACCCATGTGCTTTTTCATCCCATCTGAGGAAGAAGTTCCTGACTGGGGCCCAGATTTTCAGAGGTACATGCCTGCTGCACAGAACCTCCAACAGTCACACAAAACATCCACTTAGTCCTGGTGAACCCTGGAATAACTAGAACCAATCTAGATTTACTTCTTCCAGCAAAACCTGAGTATTATTTTTTCACATATTCTTTGTGTGCTCATTAGAATTATATTAAAAAGAAGGTTCAGGTGGTTCTTTTACCAAAAGCAATTCTACTTTATATCAGGTTATGAAGACATGGATACCTAAATAAGTTGTTGTAAGGTAAGTCAGGGTGTGGATTTATGGCACATTAGGCATTCCACAAAAATTGCCCTCGAGCATGCCCTTATCCCATGGTGCCAGTGAGCTGACTCCACTCTCACTGCAGGGTAGCTACGTCGCAGGCGCTCTCAAATGAGAGTGTGTGTATAGGCTGTCACCAGCCAGCATTATAAGCCAGATTCTTATAAATCCTAACCCTTTCACTACTATGCAGTATCTTGTTTGTGGACCTATGCACAATGGTCCTGACTAGCAAAGGAATTTAGGCATTTAACTTTCAGATTGGCACAAGCAAGACTATGTTAAAAAAGAAAACCTAGACAAAGAGAGACAGCACAGGCTTCCTTAAAGCACAGCTCCACCTGTCCATGTGAACTTCTTGAGCTACCCAGTGCTCACTTAATAACAGATAGCCATGCAGAAACAGCAGAAGTATTGGGAGAAACCAAAAAGGTAAACCCCATTTTAGTTCACATTTTTCCAGATAGTTAAGAAATTTCACCTAGGGAGAGAAAAAAAAGGAGGTATTACATACTTGGCACTGCACTGGTATTATCAGCATTTGACTACAACACTGAAAATAATCCTTTCATTATGTCCAGATATGATTTACAGATATACTCCTTCAAACAGAAATACTGTACAGTTAATTCTAAGACAAATTGTTTCTTATGTCCAGATTTGATTTACAGTGCATTTCCTTCAAATAAAAATGTATGACGCATTTTTCCATTTGCTTTCTGCCAGAGTCTTTTATTTTTAGATACAGAACAAATTCATACTCCTTTAATAGTCCTACCACTCCTATATAGCAAACGGTGCACCTTAGCAAGCATTGACACATTCCATTACATAAATAAATCCTGCAAAACTGCTGACAAAATTATATCACCCTTGATAAGAATAGAAATATCGTTGGACCTCCTACTTGATGGGAGGGAGTGTGCTAAAGAAAATGGCTTAACTTTGTCATTTACATATGCAGAAATAAACCAGAAAAAAAAAAAAAGCTCTCCAGGTACACACTATACTCAGACCAATTTATTCTGATGCAGAACATCCTTCAGCTGTTGTCAAGCTGGGGTTACTTTAAAACTCTTTCCTAGCTCCCATTTTCTAGTCTCATGTCATCAACTTTGCCCAATACTGTCTCCACCTATGTTGCTCCCATTTCCTCCTACTCTCGCCTCCCACTCTTCATGCTCTGCCCAAAATTACAGATGACTGTCCCTTTAGGATTTCTTATCCACTCCCAACTCTGGACCTTCCTTTATCCCACCCATTTTAGTAAAAACAACCTCTCAGCTAGTGCCTACCAAATATTTTCCCTCCATCGGTAAACTCCTGTTCTGAAAAACATTCCACTCTTAAGGATTACACATCATTTCATATTTTCTCCATATCCTAGTACAGTGCCTTGTGTCTGACCTTTGCCTGGCATATGTTTGGTATTTACAATACATAGAAATATTTTGTTAGTTAATGAAAGTGCTAAAATGGCTTTCTTGGTTTGATTTTCTTTTACTCCAAGTGACAAAGCTGGTTTTAGTTTTTTAATAAACGTGAGAAAGTTTGACGTACATTGTGTTTTTCCCTTTTCTCCTTCCCTATCTCAATATCAACGCTAGCAGAATTTCTCTCAATTAGAAAAAACAGGTTTTTTCTTAATCTATCTTGTCTCTGTAATGGCCTCTGTTTTATTATTTTACATATTAAAAATACAGATGTATCTGAACACATACTGTAAGAGGAACACATTTTCAGCTCTTCCTGAAACTGAATAGCTTGTTACTTGAAGTGTGGAAATCAGATGAAAAGAATTTAATTTACTGATTTCAGTCTCCAAAAGGTCCCTGTAGCACATGAATTTCAGAGAGCAGTGGAGACCAGGCAACTCAGAAATACTGTGTATCAGGAATATGTAATACTCCCTTCAACTAAGCTTCTGGGAAAGAATCAAGTAGGACAAAGTTCTTCTTCTATTATCTAAATGATTTTGAGCTATTTGAAACTACGAATACTTGTATGAATATTTACATTACTGAACAAATGTTAGGTAGACTCCATCCAAACAATGAAGCAACTTTGAGCAATGAGTAACAGAAAAATTGCCTCCCTTACATACTTACTTCAGTAAATGACTAAAAGTAAGCCCATAATCAGGTATTGCAAAGAGAAATGAAAGACACAGGGAGGATCACAACGTCTGGATGAAAAAAACTCTTTCACCATAACGTAGATAATGTCTGTGTAGGAAGACAGATTTTGTACTCACTTAAATTTCTCATAGCTGTTCCCCGTTATCTGTTCCTCTGAGCACTTCCAAAGCTATTTTCTGCTTTGAGAAAGCAAAACTATTTTTAGAGAATTTCTCAACTCTGGAAAAAACGTTTTCAAATAACACTCGGAAAGCTTACTAGAATGACCAAACCTTATTTCTCCCTGATCAGTCTAACTGGCACTATCAAAATATTTCCCATTTTATTTAAAACACTCCAGTAAACTGAGAGAAGATCCTGGAAATAATTATACTTAAATACCAAAATTCTGGTTGAATAGGAAGTCCTTTGAGAACACAGATGCAGTCTCCCTTACGTTAATGTTCAGTTCTTTCAAAATCAGCTATAATGGAACTGCAAATGTTTAAAACTAAGCATTAGATTAAGAGCTTTTCCAAGGACAGGGTTATACAACTGTGTCCTTGAGTTTAGATGAGTTATAACTGGAGAACATGAGAATGGGGATAAAACCGGAACTCAGTCGTACCTGCAATCAAAAGTCAAAGTTAGTTAGGGAAACTAATAAGATTACACACTATTTACTTCTTTTTGCCGAATGACGTTCTCTCTGTTTTCTGCAGTGATCTAACTTGAAACAAGAGCATTGTGTAAGCAGCATCACACAGATCTCTGCAAAATCACGACTGCTTTTTCAAAGCCAGGGCTTGAAATTTTTACAGGCTACCTGTGGCGCGCACATTCCCTCACATGGCTCAAAACAGATCTTCAGCTATCACTGAGCTACAGCAGCTTTGTCTCCTCCACATTTTCAGTAGGATTTTAAATGAGGAGTACTGAGACTATCTAAGAACTGAAGGTCTTCCTTTTGTAAAAACAAGCTAACAAAAGAAAAACAAACACAAGCCATGATCTAAAGCACTAACAATAGCAATGTACGGTATTTAGGAACATTACTGTAAATTACTACAAAGTTTACACTGGTGTAAAATAAGGTTATGATAGAAGTATTGGAAAGATTTTCCAAAAATGATACCAGAAAACAACAATCCAGTGCCCTGATTGCAGAAACCAGCATAAGTCTTCTAGGATTTCCACCAGTGCTATTATTCTATCAGCTACTCACCTCTCGCAAATCTTCACCTCACATTAAGACTTAACTTGAGGAGCAGTGGGAACTGTGCACATCTGTTATACTCAAAACAGCAGTGGGACGAGTAACAGACAAGGAAAATAACGTATGGCATGATCCATGTGCTGCCACAGTTGCTTCTCACCCTGTAAAATTGAGATGATAATACTTCCCAACCTCAAAGTATTGCCAAGTGATGGTAGTTTCAGATACTGTTGAAGTACTGACTGACACACAGCACTAGTAACTCAAATTGTAGTTGGTAAGGACACCGAATTTAAAACAAATCTCTCTCTCTGTCTCGGGAGAAGAATCTTCACCAAATAATCTCAGTTGACATCACTTCCAAATGCAGACACCTCAGTGACATAATACCATGATGGAGTTTTATTTTACTCCCAAGTCTTGCATACTCTTGTGAATCTAGATTGACCATCGAAAAGGTTGTCATCCCTATATGCTCATTACCAGTCTTAGACTGCAGTCAGCAAAAAAGTTCTTGTGAATGCTTGTGAGTAAAGTTGTACAGATCGGCTTACACTGCAAAGAAAGTGATATAAGCAACACTGACTTTGCAAAGGATCGGGTATAGAGTAGTCACAAGTCCCATTCCAGAAGCGGTGGTAACAAAAACGAGGGCGATAATGGAGAGTTTGGAGAGGTAATATAGCTGCCAAAGCAATCTTATGTCCAACCTTGAGTGATGACTCAGGGAAAAGTGTTATCCCCTCAAAATACCAGTGTTATTCTGTGCAGCACCCAGAAGTCTTTTGCTCAACTCCCACTTCAGTCCAGTTATACTTAAGTTCTGAGAGCTGACACATCTCACACTAAACACTCCAAAAATCCCTTTTCAGGATTGTTAGAGTTTTGAATTTATTCACCTCCTTGAAATCAGTTTTCAAAACAGGTTTGTCATGAAATCACACGACAACACCAACATGCATCCTTGCTATAAGTCCTTATCACAAATAAAATTACCATGGCTGACACACAAAGTAATTGGAGCCAAAAAGAGACATTCACTTAACTGCTCCACAAGGTTGCTCTTGTTTTCAACTTTAAGCATCCTAAGAAGATCAAGACCACAGGATAGCCAAAGGAAAAATAAATCATCATCACCGCTAATAAGAGTCAAATCAGGGCAGGAGTTTGGACCTTGCAGAACATTCATGAAGTACTAGCTTGCCAAAGTCAAGCTGACTCAGTCTGAATTTGCATGTTCTCCTTGAAGCTCTGTGAAAGGAGGCAAGAACAAGTTTCTCATTTAAACCCTTCTCTGCTCTCAGCTCAGTGCCTTCTTTTAAAATATTGCTACTTGAATACAAAGCTGGGCTTCCTCCCCAGGGCACAAAGGCTACAGAAAAAGAAGCATGTGTCCAGTTTCAAGCTGTGGAAGGAGACTTATTCTGCTAGTTCCAGGAGTGGTGTTCAGGATCCCGGTCTGAGAAAGAGAATTAAGAAGAGTGTGGATAGGCTTCTGTTAAAAGCACTCACACACGTGTGCAGTGGGTTACTTCATTCACTAAGTTGCATGCGACTTCTCAGATGATCAAAATATTACATTCAGGAACAGTCTGAAGTTCCAACAGCTCCCTTGTGATTTCAGGCTGTTGCTAGCACAGCCCACCCTCTACAAGAACAGAGGACAAAGGATTAACCATAACTACAGCAAAGACCCACCCATGAACCAGAGCTTAGGACCACATCATATATGGTAAACAACAAATGAAGAGGAATAACACAGTCTGAAGGATACACAAGTTCATTTATAATCAGCTTCACCTTGAACAAGTTCTAACATAAAATGGCCTGACAAGAGCAAGCAATGCCACTTCCAGTCAGATGACTGCACTGAAAATTATTCTTCCTATATATAATACTCATTGTATATACTTTGCATAGTAGCACAGGGACACAATCATAGCAAGCTGAACTAACACCTTGCTGGTGTTTTCCTGAAAGTGACTCACTACAGATTGGACAATCCCATTCTAGGGATTAAATTTGTAATCTCATTTGAATTTGCATTCATTATTAACTGAACCACATGTGCTATTGTCACGAATGTATACAGGTTAGCACGTCAGAAGGACATTATGGAATCTAAAAATACATCATTTTTAACACAAGAAGCAAAACTAAAATCTGAAGTTTTGGTCTGTTACAGAGCCTTAAAACTTAAAGTCTTTAGTTGTAACACAGGGTGGGGGGAGGGGAATTGATAAAAATTCTAGAGAAATGGAAAGTGTAAATTTTATCTTTGTTCTTTCAAAAAAAAACCCCAATCAGTAAGCAGCAGGCATGCACTTCTTTTGAATTCTGCCTCCTTTCACTCTGAGTCAACCTGATTCCAACACGCCAACAAGGACTTTGGCATAACTTCACTTAGATAAGAGAGACTGACACCTTTTGCAATTTAGGCTTCCTGATAGTTTTGTTCTACAAAATTTGTAACAGGGGCTTTCGTTCAATGGGTCCAAAAGGTTCTAAGAACATTTTTCTTGGATTGATTTCTGCCCTTTTCTGACTCTTAACAACTGTAAAGATTTGCTGCTTTCTGCTCATGTTAATGTTCTGAACTGAAGCAGATGAGGGTGTTGATTGACATCTTCTAAACTTTTGCTTTCATAGCCTTTCCATATCAAGTTAAGAGGGTGGAGCATAGACAAAGACTCTTCCTTCTGTGGAAGATCTCCTTTGACCAGGACTTTAGAACCAAGGACTGACTCCGTGTCAGTCTTGCTGGGTTCAGGACAGGGTGGTACAGGACTTTGGCAAGAGATGAGATTGTGCCAATAAAATGCCAATAGGCTCAACCATGACAGGCTGTTTCGTCATTAAGGATTGAGCAGTGAAGCTTCAGATCAAGGAGTTATCAGCAATTTAGAAAGATAAAATATATTAGGGAGGCAGGGAAAAAAAAAAAAAGAGATAGAAAATCTCTTCACTCGCCTCCAGCTGCAATTTGTTCAAAATCCCTTACACTTTGGTCTTCTCAGTCTAGCTCCTCCCTAAAAACTAACTCAAGCCAACTCTCTTAGGAATGCTGTTCCTCCTGAGCTAGACATCAGTTCCCTTAATGTAAATCAGGCCCTACTTCCTCTCAATCTTCAGTAACTTCTCCAAAACGTAGACTTCCCCTTTGTAAGAGGATGTCACATCAATTGTTCCCAATGTGATCATTTAAATACTTCTGCCAACTACAGTGATTCTTTAAATGGACAAATATTCATTCTACCTTTACTATTACTATTTTAACATTTTAACGGTTAGAAAAAGAAAGAAAACAAGATACCATGTAATAAACTGCATATTTGTGGATCACTGGCAAGCGTCCTTGAATGTGAACCCTTCATGATGATTTCTCACTGTCAGACAACTGCATTTTTTTTCTGTTTTCCTACGACAACTTTAGACCAACTAGCCAGTCTCTCTTTCTGAATGCAGGGGAACATCCCCTCAACAAGAGAAACAGAGCATTAACGTGGATAAGGGAGAACCAGGAGTAATTCAATTTATCAGCAAGACAAACATCTTTTCCACACATCAATATATTTTTCATTTCTAAACTACTTCACAGGAAGGTTATCAAGAACTGTTGCCGGTGCAACCAACTGCTGCAACCAAATGCATCAGGTCTCAATGTGTAGGAGTAACAAGTCTTTGCAAACAAACTTTGAATCTCTATGATAAACATTAAAGAAAAGACATTGCTGTTTTAGGCACACATTTTAAAGATATACAGGTATACCCGTGTCTTGACCCTGGCCTGGATGTACAGGGCTGTGCCCATGACGTAGCTTTTAGCAAACTCATGTTGTCATTAGATTTTTACAGAACTGCTCAAGGGCTCCAATCACACCCTGGCTTCTAATACAAAACAAAAGAGGCATTACATAAACAGAATGTAGTTAAAAGGTAAATCTAGTAAATGTAGAACTTGTACATTAGATGAGGTAAAAATTACCTAAGAACACTTCAAGAGGTAGGCTTCCAGATCCAGGTGAGAATCTGGATGTTTTTTTCTTTTTTCTTATTCCTTTTTTTCCCCCATTTTCTCCTTCGCTTTGACTTTGATCCCCTATCTGATTCCAAAGATAATCTATTTCCCCTCTCCCTGTGTGAGGGTATATGGTACAGGCCGATTACATCTCAGTTGCTTTGGCTTCACATTTGTTATCCTACTATCATCGCCAAAATGATGTTTCTCTAGTGTTTTCTCTAATCAGATTGTTAAAATAAATATGTACGTAGAGAGTAACTGAGGCCGAACAACGTCTCTTTGAATCAGAATAAGAAAGCTGTCTAGAACTCTGATGTGCACTGGTCACCTCAACTGCTGCAAGCTCAAGCCTGAAAACACCTGCACAATGCAACAGTCTCACAAATACAATCTGTTTCCATTGACAAGAATACCAGCAATTGCTTCAGTGAACTTATCTACTCAAGTGAGAACACAATGGGAGCTTTGCTTGTATTCTATGCTCTTTTATCTCTCTCTAAGAAAGACCGTAGATCTCGCAGGTACAAACTGTGTCTTCTTATTTGGAAGCCGAGCACACCTAGCATGTTAATTTGCCTGCAGTTAAAAAAAATATTCAAACTTGTAAGTCAGAAAAATCATGTGTGTGAAATAACTAGCAAGTGAGGGCCCAGTGACAGAGATTTCAGGTTAGTGGCTGCACTCATCAGAAGGCAGAGACCAACCACAGGGCTTATCTACTAAGCAGAGAGCTTCAACACAGAAAGTAGAAGTGAAACGTGCAAATAGGAACTGCAAGTCTTAGTCACTTGTTACTTGTAAGGCACCATTTTAGGAACATCAATTTTTTTTAATTTCAAGAGATACACTTAGCCCTACTGTTTTATATACTTTCTCTGGCTTTCATGTAATTTTGCTATAGTCTGGACATGGATACACAGTATGAGGATTTCTTTCATCCATTTATTTTAAATCACGATATCATTGACTCAGCACAACCACAAAATCTCCAATCTCTGTCATAAATACTTGAGAGAAACTAGATCAAGAAATAGGTCAGATCTAGTTAAAACAAAATAATCTACTGCTATTGTCATAAAGATAGGGTGAATTTAAGGACAAATTCTGCTTTCAGTTATGTCCAGGAATCTCTACTGATATTTTACAGGGATAATCAAAGGTGGAATTTGGCCCAGAGCAAGCTGCTTTTAAGCTGCATTCAAACATCAAGATGATGCACGTGTATCAGAAAAATCTAAAAACCCCTAAACTCTGGACTGATATTTTACTTTGATTTAATCAGCCACAATGATCTCACCAGCTGCGTGTGAACAAGCTTTACATCCCGATCTTGTTTCTTTCAGTTTCATTTCATGCTCTCTTTAGCCTGGCTCCCTTTCAATCTCCCACAACCCCCTGGCTACATCCATCCCCCTTGATTAGGTTGGAAATAACAGCAACACGGCAGTAACAACACTGCCAACCTTAAAGCCAGTCAGGACAGCAAGGAAAGCTGATTTCATTTTAAAACAAAGCTGATTTCACTCAGGCACACTCTCACTCACATACCAACATACAAGCACTGGGATACATGTGTACAAGCAGTCTGCGCAACATTCTGGCACCAAGACTCCTGAATCCAGGAGGTCTTTCTGGGACTCCTTGTGATGACAAGGGACACCAGCTACTGAGTTCTTATGACTCCTGGGTTCATCTTAGGTTGGCAACCATGTGCTGGTTTTGGATAGGCTTTTTTGTACCTTTCAGGAGCTCCTGCTGATCAGTTTCTCCATTCTGTTGTGGCTCTGAGAGTCATCAAGATTTGCTTGTTTGCTCAGGTCTTGTGCCTCCTGAGCTGATGTCCTGCATACCTGCATGTAGATGTACACTAGGATTTTGATGAGGTGCTAAACCTAAGTGACTTCAGCACACACCATTCTTATAGCCCTTCTCCTGCTGTTTGTTCCTTCCAGACCTTCATGCCCAGACATTCCCATTCATATCAATCCTAACACTATTACAATTCTCTAAAATGTCATTGATCACTAACCATAGAAAAGTACGAAAAGGATAACCCTCTGCAGAACGAAGCAGAGAAGCTTTTCCAGCGCACAACAGAACTGTACAGTGTTTGAAGGCAAGAAGCGAACTAACCACAATTAGTTACGAGTTATCAACAGATTGGCTTCTGATAATAGTCTCTTTAATAGTGTTCTATTAAGACTGTTTGCATGCCTCGTTATCTCTCTCAAATAACTAATACACAGTGACACATGCTCTAGAAAGTGGACCGATTTAGAAGAGATGTATTTCTAGGTACCACAATAACAGCACTAAAAACAAAACCAAAAACAAAACTGAGTGAATGTCTTACTCACTGCCTACTCACTAGTTCACAGTCTAGGGTATTTTTTTTTAATAAAATAATAATTAGAAATTAGCGCAAACAGTACACTATTTTTCATGCAACTGATCAAAATAACAGCACCTCAAAATAAATACACACTGTCTGGAAACCACAGTGCCCAGTGATGCCTTCCATCTTACTTTTGCTTTCCAGTATTCTGAACACTAGCTAAGCAGTGGGAGGACTGAGCTCCACAGAGTTTGGCTGCAAGAGAAGGGACATTACAAATATATATTTCTAAAAGAGAAAACAAAAAACTTGATCCACTTGCTTCTAGTCTAGTAGGTCTCCACTACAAAGGGAATATAGTTAATTCAGCACATGGAGAAGTCAAGTTTACTGTTGTTCAGATTACTGCAACATTTTAAAGCCCTGCTCTTTGTGCTATCCTAAGGAAACCATACATTACCTCAATGATCTAAAAAAAATACGTGACCAGACTAACAAATTCCTTACCTTTGGCCTCATGGTTATCTGTACTGATTGACAAGGTAAGAGAATGATTTTCAGTGCATCTTAGGACAAGTCTATATCTTCATTACTGAACTTATAAGTTCTCTTGGGAATGACTAGGCGCAAAAATCAGTCTCTGAAGATTCTTTATTTCAGTAACTTCTTTAAGTGAAAGAGTAAAGGGAAAAATGGTTGCGCCTGTAAGAATCTGTAGAAGTACCACTACTGGGAGAGAGCTTCCCCCCGCCAAATCCTATTTTCCAGTCAGTTTAGAAGAAGAACTTGAACCTCACTTTTTCTGGTGAGGGCTAGCAACTACTCCAATCTCCAGCTGTAGAATCAAACACTCTTTAGCCAAGCAAAAAAATAATTGGCTAGCTGAAAGTGGAACAGCTTCAGTGACTGATTAAGAGAACTCCAACACCAGATCTAATATGCAGCAGTTCTACCTGGGTGGGACAACTCCTGCTGTATGACAGCCAGATTACAGATTTGAAATTAGGGTCTTTTATTTCCTATGCTAGGGCCTAGGAGAGTTTCCTTTTACTTTTTAGAAGAACAGGCCCACACTAGGAGGTAGGGCTGACAGGACACTTCACTTGATCCACTAGGTGAAGCATGGGAACTGCATAGAACTACCCAAGATATCTGATTCACTGTGGCAAGTAAGATTACATCTTTTGTCACAGAGCTGCAGGCAGAGCCATAAAACAGGCAGCTATGAGCAGGAGCTGTGTAATACTCCCTGGGGAAAAAATGCTGAAACACTCACACTACGTTTATATCCCTTTATAACTTACTTCAACTCTGGACTTTGCTAGCAACAAAGGTCTCTTGACTATTTTGTTATCAGCTCTACGTACTAAGCCTCAAGTTATAGCTAACTGTATTTTGTTCACCTACAAGTGGCATTTCTTCTCTCCCACTTAGAGTTTTCTTTTCCTTTGAGTTCCTCCACAGTGGCATTATCTTCAGAGGTCCTTACACTCTTTTCATCTCTCTCCTTGAAACTCATCCTACGACAACTCCTTTCATCCTCTCTCCTCGTTCATATGTATCCTCCTTATTGCTCACTATGAAGGGATCCACGCTGTAGTCTTCCTTCCCCCTTCCAAAATGTCCTTCTGAGACTGCTGCAACTGCTCCGTGCCAAAAGCTAAGCCCCCTCTTCCTCTAAACAAGCTTGTGAGGCCAGAAATTAGATTGGAGCCAACCTGAAGAGCAACAGCTTGTTTGAGTTAGCAGTAGAGATCTTCTCAGATATTACTGCAGCATGTAACAAGACATATGAGCCAGCCCTGACTATGGATATTCAGATGGACCAGAGAAACTTACTAGAGGAACTTAGGTACCTCCACAGATGACTTGCCTAATCGACCATAGTTAACAGACAGGCTTAAAAAAAAAAAAAGCCAGAGTTAAGACCACCTGCAGGTACTGTTACAGAAATACTTACACCAACTAACGTCTAATAAAGAAGGCACATGTCCCTTCCCCCCTCTACAAAAAGAAATGGTTAACTAAAGCAAGCCTCTGGTCACTATTTCTAATTTTCTTTCCCTCCATCTCCTGTCTCTGTAGGCAGTGCTGAAAGGGTCATTTATGAAGACAGGCATGAGTGGGCAATCAAATCCACAGAAGCGGGAGGCAACAGTATCACAAATAGATCACGGCATGCCCACATTGTGAAGCAAAGCAGCACTAACGGGTGAGGGACTGAGGCAGAAACCAAGTGATGTGGCAAGTTTGCAAGCCATGGAGATCAGGCAGAAAAGGCATGGTCAGGAAAAGGGATTATACAAGGTAAATAGCAAGGAAAAAAAAAAGAAAGAAAAGCAGTCCAACTTCTTTAAAAAGCTAGAAATACCACATATAAAAAAGGTAGATATTAAAAAAAGAGGCAGCAGTAGTGCCTTAACAGGCCTAAAGGTTAGTACTACAAATAGTGGACTGTGAGCACATTTGCTGAGAATATAAAATTACTTTTAACTATAAAAGCAAGAATGAGAACTCATTTATCGCAGAGAAAGGTTGAATGAACAGAAGGCCTTCAACTGGTGTTACAATGGAGGAAGAAAACAAAATCAAAGTGGCAAATGAGATCACTGGGTCCAGACAGCACTAAAATCCTCAAAAAACTTCTCAGGATCAAGTATTTCTGATAAGAAATTTCTTTACAGATGCATAAGCAAGTTAGTGACATTTACTATGACAGAAATTTGGTAGCAAAATAAAAACAATTAAAGCTTGACAGAAGGAATCAGCAGTGCATTGAAAAGTACTTATCTAAACCGATGCATTTGTATTGTGTCACTGGGAAAAGGAGAAACTGCATATGCACTTAACGAAGCCTGAAACAAAACTCCTGCTCACTCAAGAGTCCAAGACTGGACCAGAAAGGTGCAAAGAAGGCATGCCACTGTGGCATGGAACACAGCTGTTATTACCAAAAATTCAGAAACAATAATAATAGGCAGGACAGATCACAGCATTTCCATATACCTGTGGACTAAAATTACTCAGCAGACAGCACAGCAAAATACTGTTTCCAAGCACTGAAGCTTGGCAATTTTTAAAGTTAGATCAGTGGGAAAAGCTTCCTGAAAGACTAAAGGCTAGGCTTGAGCTGAGTTGGTTCTCTAACAGCAGCAATTGCTCAGCAAGAGTAACTGCTTTACACAGAAAATCCACAGCTATTCTGAATGGGCGTTTCTGCCTCTCCTGTCCTACAGCTTTCTTGTGGCCTTCAACCATTAGCATCTGTTAGACAAGAGGACTGAAAAGCCAGTAACTTTCAAGGAGGCTGGTAAGGAAGGGGAAAAGTAAGAAGTCCCTCTCACATCCAACAGTTTGTTTAAAAGGGTCTCTCCCAAAAAATAGTCCAAAAACTTTAAAAGTCAACTTTTACAAAATGGCTTATTTCAAAACAAGAACAAGAAAATGAGTATTTGATTTTTGCAATGCTAACTAGCAATTTCAGAAGACTATGTATTTTTGAAGTGTAGAATGGAATATGAGCGTAAAACCCGGCTGCTGCTTCACAAATACAAGGTTCACTCACTGTCCCGAAGGAAGACCACATATTTAGCAGTTTTGTTCATTCAAAGACCTGATGCACAGTTAAAACTTGGCCAGCTAGTAGGCAACAGGAAAACGTTTTAGGCTTCTAAATACAGTTTCCAGCTTTTACTGGACAATACGTAAATTAATGGGGAACACAAATATACTGAAGTCTATGGAAGAATACAACGCCACATCAGAATAGAAAAATATACTCTCTGTTGTAACCTTACATTACAAAAATATCAGTGAGACACAGACTTTCAGGAATAATCTCAGAGAAACACAGACAGGTCAAGATCCACATATTTGTCAAAACATACACCCAAAAACGTGCACTAACGACCAAAGACCTTCACGGGCTGAATAAACATTATGTTACTGTGAACACAAATGTTACCAAAAATAGTTTTAAAAGCATGTATTTAAGTAACAATTGCTAATTTTTGATGTATAACTAGTCTTACGCTGATCTGCAGGCTTGTTGTTGGCAATACACACACTTAAATGTTGGCATGGCAGGAAATTTCTGTACCCATTAGTTAGAACATAAAGTCTGAGAGGGAAATAATTTGGTCCTTAAAACATGGGATTTTGTTGTTATCATATATAAGTTAATTTTTATCTTAAGATCAGTATTCAGGACTGAACAGGTTAGCTATGAAAACTTCTGTTGTTATTTCCTTTTCTCCCCACCCACACAAAATTGCAAACGCAAAAGCTTTGGAAGAAATTTAGTTCACATCAAACTAATGCGTCAGAAAAAAAAACCCGTAAAATAAACATACTCCAGAACAGAGATGGTCTTAGCTGGGGACCATACAGTATTCTGACACACTCGCATCACGTTAATTTTGCTGATTATGTACAAGATACACCATCTCAGCGGTCTGAAGTTAGACTTCAGCCTTGTCCCTTTACCAGTATCAAAGCCTGCGTCAAGGATCCAGGCTGGATTCCTGTTCTTCAGCCTCCCCAGGTAGTTCTTCAGCAGACGCACCACACACACTCTCTTGATTGTCTGTAGACTGATTCAGCTCAATTTCCCCAGCTGCAACCTGAGTTGTTTCTTCTTCCTCTTCTTCCTCCACCTCCCCATCATCTTCTACATCCATCTCAAACACCCTCACATGACGGAGATTTGAACTTAGCTACGGAAACATTAAGACTCTCCATCAACAAATCAATCAAATAAAATGCCCCAACCTCTCCCACCTCCAAAACCCCAAACCAATACCAATTTATGTGTTGGCCAATGGCTTTAAAAATAGCCTTTATCAAAATGTTTGTTTTCTTTGAAAGGGAGATATCAAGAAAATCAGCAACTGTTTTATTGCTCTGCAGGTTGAGGAGAAATGGAAATACATCTATTAATTTCTGTTACAGTTTTTGCTTTGTTTTATGTAAGGCATGACGAATCCTGACACACTTATAACAGATTATGAGAAAATAATCTATCTGAAAAAACATTCTTGATAAATCTCATTAAATTAAGAGAAACACATTACTACTCCCTCCAGCCATGGCACATATTTCTTCTAATTATTCACAGGCTTGTTCACAGATACTGTACTTACCACACAGGAAACTTTTCTAATACCATTTACAGCAACATACTGAGCTTTCATATTTTCCAGCACTCTCCACTGATTCTCCAAAAAGACTGTCCGTGTGCATATGTCACCACTTTGCTCATCCAGCCTGGACATAACAAGAACAGAAGCACAAGATTAGTACATAACAAACAGCTCCGGTACTAAAAAAAAAATCTCAGTTGGCCTAGTTTTTGTTGTTCTTGTTGCTGTTGTTGTTCTTGTTTCATTAGACCATATGCAACAAGCAGATAGGCATTTAAAACCATCATAACTCTACTGCACATGTTCTAGAGCAAGGAATGCAGCTGGGAAGACGCAGCATGTTTTGACTGAGGTAAAAGGCTACAACAGGAGGGAACGGAGTTTAGAGCTTAATCTTCTCCCCTTACAGGTAGCTTCCTCTCTAGCAAGAGGAGGAGGCTGGGCTTCCTTCAAACTTCTCTACAAGAGCTGCAGAACAAAGTGCTGAAGGTAATGCCTCCACAAAAGTCTGGCCTCCGTGACCTTTCATTCCCATTCACACTCACTCATAAGGACTGTGTATGAAGAGACTCCTTGCCTACTGCAGCGGCCAGAATTAGTTTGAACTTGTTTTAAATACTGTCTATTTATTCTTCAATATAGAATTTCTTTGTGACATAAAAAAAATATTTATGGCTCAGTATGGCTCTTTATTTTGACGTAAAATATATCTTAAGCCATCCAACAGACAGGGAAAAAGGGGAAAAAAGAAAAAGTAAGTGCAACTCAGTGACTAAAGCCTGGAATCACAGGATTTTTTTTTTTTTTTCTCCTGTGCACTTTCCCCCAGATACTCTCCTCTTCATGTTATAAAATACCAAGATAGCAAGAGCCACCAGTCTGGATGTTTCAAGGCTAAGCTGACAATAGTTCTAAGCGTGACTACCAGGAGAATGAGGAAGAAATATCCGTTTGTCTTTATTAGAAGGCACAGGCACATGAGCTGAAAATATACTAACTTAGTATTCGGAGCAACAAAGTTAACATCCTCTTATGAAAACAAGTAAGATTTCTGCTTCTACAGGATGTCCTCAGAACTGGCCCTCCCGTTTCATTAAAGTAGATTCAAATATACTAGTACTGCCTCAAAATAAGCTCCCCCCCAAAAAAAACACACATGAAACCTAACTGAAATTTAAAAGCCCACCCTATCCCCACAGCACAAAAATGATTTCTGGTCTTTAAAAAGACACACACAGCACAAGTAACTAACTGTATACAATGAAAAGACTTGATTAATCTGCTTTTTAGCTCTGCATTTTGAGACTTAGTGCAAGTTTTTCAAATACCGTTTAGCAGAATCCCAGAGGAACTCTCTTTCTTGGTCCTCATCAGTGTACACTGCAGACAAAGGCAGCTGAGCCAAGATTCTCTCCTTCCCCTCTTGTTCTACACTCTCCTTCAGAACTACAGTTACTGTTTCATCATCATAGAAATGTGCATCTAAGCAACTGTAGCACCTATGGGAAAATAAAGTAGCGTTTACCTTTTGGAAAGTTTCAAGGAATAAAAGTGAACACAGAAATGAAATATTTTTCAGTTGTGCAGTGTTAATGCTATGGTAATGAGTAGTTAACAGTGAGCTTTACTGTTAATGGCAAAAAGCTGAGTCCAGCAGCTAAGACACTGAAAGACAGCCAGAACCACTGTAGACTGTCCATTCAGGCATCCCAAGTCTCATTCTGTCTCACTTTAAGAACATTACAGATATAGGAGCTGTTTCCAGATAGCTTTGTTTTTAACTAGAAAACTATAGTTTAGTTTACCTTCAGTTGAAGTAAAAAATAAGGCTCCCACAATCCTGGAATTTCATGTACCCGTGCCGTTTCTTACAGCCTGACTCAGAGACTACAAGCTAGTTCAGCAACCGAAGTAGTAATTTGCAGGATAAAAGCCAAAGTAACACCTGAGAAGTTAACCTCATGTAATAAACATCGGAAAATAGCGCCTGCAATTTAGCAAGTTGCAATTCTGGAATGGAAATCAACTAGACAGATATACTGACCTTGAGTCTGAGCTGTCATTAATGCTGTTGTTCAAGAAGTTTCCAAACTCTACAGCAATAAGTTCATTACTGATAGACCTAAAAGGAGAGTGATCATTCATTACCTGGGTAATTATTCTTTTTCCCACTCACAGAAAATCCAAAGAGCTCTGATGGCAGCTACGGAAAGAGATGGTGCAGTCTGTCTAGACTTTACACAATACATGCTTACGTTTCAAAACAATGTTAAGTGGTGGAAGGAAACCTTTTGTTTTCTTCTTCCCTCAGCAAAACGTGACTAAAACTGAAACGGCAAACTGTGTCTGGCTTGTGTTCTTTGCTGAACTCCCAGCTCAACTGTCCCAGTCTCAGGTCTGTTAAGTTACTTATTACCCAAGTCAATAGAAAATACCAGTTCAGACTGTTCCAGATACTAATGGGGGAAGAAAGAGGATGGAAACTACACCATGAGGCTGTAATTTTGTCATCAGAGGTTCTCAACTGAAAATATATAGGATAATTTCGCCATGCATTTTCTTCAGCGGTAAAACTACTTTAAAAATTCCCACTCCATCACATCTCATCATATCCTCAAATGAAGTGACTCCGATTATAAAATAAATCATTTCGGGAGAAGAGGAGTTTCTGATGTTTTTTAAACTCAAGTCACTTCAGTGACCCCACTGACAGAATACAAGTTAAGCAGTGGTATCAGAACAACTGAGACAACGACACACTGCAACTTGGGTACAGAAACTCCTGAAGCTGCACAAAACTACACGCAAAAGAGATGTTTCACCTATGAGTCAACCTTCCCATTTTCCATTAGTGCATTAAATTACAGGCTGCAAAGGGTGAACAAGAGAATACTACTTACAGTAAGACAAAGCAACATTGAAAGTTTGGTTCCTTACATGATTTGTTATCACTCAAGCAAGTAATTCTGTGAGGAGGAGAACTAATGGAGCCTGAATTTTTTATCCTAAGCCTGCAAACAGCTGGGGTCTTGTGATTAGATTCTCGGAGTCTAATAAAACAAACTCCTCTTGCATTTTCCTACCACTCTTCCTAATGTCTTCCTCATTTATGGATTCAGTCAAAGAGGAATTGTGCTCATGCTGCTTATCCCTTCTTTTTACAGAAAGATTCAAAGATTCATTTTTTACCTGGTAGTATCCGTATGTTTCCTCAAAATGTATATTTTTGAAACAGAGCTTTCTAATACGGTGAAGAGAACATAATGGATATTGGAGGTTTTGTCATTCCACCTATAATGTGAGGGGAGGAAGTGAAAACTTAGACCAAACTATAATAATCGGTAAATGAAGTGCAATAAAGAATAGCAGCATACTTACAGAAATGGTAGTTTAAGTAACTGCAGTGTGGAATCTTCACTGAAAAGGAAAACAAAACCAGCTTATAAAACACTACCATAATGTTGTGCAACTTTAAAAATAATGCAAAAAATACCTTTGAGAAGTCCTGTAGAGAGACATGCAGACTGCCTGATGCACTGACTTTCCAATTACATCCTATCAAATACAATGGAAACAAGCCAAAAGATACAGGAAGTTACTCACAGTCATACACACCTTTTTGAGGTAAAAAAGAAAAAGCAAAGTAAAACCCAAGCACGTTTGAAGGCGAAATCCACCAGTATCGATGCTGGAACAGACATCCCCACTGCAAGCACTTGATACACTTGTTTTGCATTTGTTCAGAAAATATAGACTAATATACTGCTAACTAATACAGCTATATAATATATAGTGCATACATCAAGCTAATTAATATTCATATAGATCCCATTAATGTAAAGGGTCAGACAAGAGAGAAAATAAGAAACAAATCTCCCACTACTCTCTCCCTAGCCAAACGCTTGAGACATTCAGCAATGGGGAAGCTAGGCTGCGTGCTACCACCTATGTTGTGGGCACTCAAAGGCAAAGATTAAACCTGAAGTCTTACTAGGCATCTTCAGTTGCGTGATACCCCAATAGAAAGTCATCATTTGTAAAGACTGAACTTACAGCTGGTTTTTGTAAACACCGATCAATGATCCCTTCCATTTGTCTTTTCACAAAATGCAGTGATTTCTCAGGGTAATAGGGAAACAACAATGGGCTTTCTGTAAACAGATAAATCAAAGTTCATTTTAAAAACACATGTGCCTATGTAAAAACATACTGCGCTGTTAAACCGACAAACTAGAGTGAGTCCAGTGGAGGGACACTAAGATGGTGAGGGGGCTGAAGCGCATGCTTTATGAAGAGAAGTTGAGGGGGAGCCAAGTGATCTCTTCAGCTACCAAAAAGAGGAGTTACTGAAGACGGAGCAACATCCTTCACAAAGGTACACAGTGAGAGGAGAAGTCACAATAGTCATAAGCTACAGTGAGGGAAATTCCAATTGGGGATAAAGAAAAAAGTTTTCACAAGGAGTGGTGAGGCACTGGAGCAGTGTGCCCAGAGAGGCTGCGGGGTCTCCATGCTTGCAGACATTCAGGACTCGATTGTACATGGCCTTGAGCAACCTGGCCTAACTTTGCAGATAGCCCTGCTTTGAACAGCAGGTCGGACTAGATGACCTCCAGGACCTTTTATTATTCTTTGATTATAAATTCAAACTCAGGTGACTAACTGTAACACAGTAGGAAATGAGGCAAATGAACGAGAAATGGAGGCCTACTTGCCCTTTTAACATTCTCTCATTGCCCATTCAAAATTATAAAAACAGGGAGTGGCAGTTAGCCAAGAGCTAGAAATACAGTTACCATGAACTACCTTGTTTTAGCAAACCCATTTCCAAACTTTTTATCGTAGTTGCATTTTGGGTTCAACAGGATTTATTCCTTCTTGTGAAGGAAATTACGTTGTAAGAAGACATTTAGCTTTTAAGACAAATCTTGCTACTTATTTTGTATACCTAATCTAACTCTTTTCCACCGTTTAGCTGGAAAAATTACAAAACATTAAGTCAATCGGCAAAGTAACACGGAACACCAAAGGAGGGTAGTAGGAGTATCAACCACAAACGTACATGTAACATTCCTAGCCCTACAAACCTTATAGTTCTAAGAAGAGAGCAAGACGAACGTCTCAATAATTACCAAATTAATACCAACAAAAACATTTATTGCAATCTCTCTACAAACAATCATGGATCTTGGATGGTAACAGAAATGACCAGTCAAATAATCTGCATGTATTTTATTATCTGAAGTATCAAAAAAAAATTTGTAAGTATGTTTAAAGTAAATTTTCTAGATACTGCTTCGCCAAACACAAAAAAGTGCCACAGCTTCCCCTCTTTTTATTTAATTGGTAACGGATAGAAAAAGGCAGCCATGGCAAATTCTCTCCTGTAATAACAAGATAGCTCATGCTGTAGAAGGTTATAGTCTGTCTATGGTTAAAAAAAGAATCATTCTCAGCATCAGTTTGTTACTGTCTCTTACTTCCTTTTTAACACTTATAAACAAAACAATCTAGGAGCATTGTAGAATCTCTTAAAGACTCCATGTCAAAGAGAAGAAATCAGGAAGCTTCCCCGAGGTGTACTTAGGGAAGCTTCCCTAAGTGCACTTACTACTTCCTCAGAGTGGAACTAAAGTCTCCTAAGATAGACATCTTCCTGGGATTCCTTCCAAACCAACATTTCTGATCCTTGTTCATAAAAAGCAGGAAACTTCTACTATGCAGAAAGTGGTAACTGATTGAACAAGCAGCTACGTGAAAACTCGCTAAAATAACAAGGCCCATCGATTTTATTCTACTTAGATGGAGATCCATAATCAGTACTATAGAAATAACTCATAAGTATGAAAAACAGATTATTCTTTCTAAATTTAAGGTCTACATGTATCTTTGATTCACCATATAAAGCACATTTTACCTTTAAGATGAGTACTATTTTTAAGAAAGTTAAACCACTGATTTCCCTCTGTATTAGGTGGTGATACAAGGTCATCATCTTCATCTTTCAAGTACTAGAAAAGAAACAGACGTTCATAACATCACTGTTTAAGAACAAGGGACATCAGAACTCACCCCCCATGTTGTCCCTTTCAAGTCTGTTAAGCATCTCCCCTTAATATAACACGCCCTATTCTTACTATTAAATCCTCCAGCTCATCTAGAAACTAGTAAGAAAATAAATTATTGTATAAGATCATATAGCGATATTTCCACATGAAACTGATGTTAAAATGAAGTTTGAGTGCAAATGTTTTGAAATCCAGCGATTAATGGCATAAAGATAACAAGCAGATTTCAGTTTTAGACTACTATTGTTAGCTGCAAAATAATTTCATCCCCTTCTTAAAATACAGCATACATAAGGTAACATTAGAGAGTATGCTTTAAAAATACTTCTTTTCTTATTAACAGTGGAAAATAATTAATACTTTCCTCTACCATTGCTGCAATGTGCAACACAGCAAAAGGAGGAGAGAAGAAAAGTGGGCACAGCTTTAAAAATTCCTCCATGTAAGGATTTTTGCATTTATTCTCTTTCCCATTCATTCCCTAGTTCTTTACCTGGCCAACTCTCTCCACATTGAAGTATTTTCCTTTACGATTATAGAGCTCTGGTGCCTGAAAAATAAACATAAACAAAAGCAAAATTTAAACCCAAAGTCCAATGACAAGTAGTGCACAAAAAAGGAGATTCAACTATTTTCCCTATGGTTTTCTGAGTTCAATCCGCAAAAACACAGTCAGATGCTGTACTTGGTACTCAGCAAACCAATACAAACTTACCTCATTGAAGTGTTCAGTAAGAAAATCAGCAACAAACGTGATATCTTTCTGAGTCATCTATAAGGAGAAAGAAGAGGTGAGAAAAGCAAAGGATAAGAAAATTCAAACAGCATAGAATGCATGTTCTCCAGGCCAAATAAGCCCAGCTCCCTCAGCCTTTCCTCACAAGACAAGCACTCCAGCCCCCTGACTGATGGCCCTCCGCTGAACCCGCTCCAGCTTATTCATGTTGGTCTTGTACTGGGGGGCCCCAAACTAGACAAAGTATTCTAAATGTGATCTAACGAGCACTGAGTAAAGGAGGATAATCCCCTCAACCTAAAGGGCCTACTCCTGTTAGTACAGGCCAGGAGGCTCTTGGCTGCCTTTGCTGCCAGGGCACACCACTGGCTCTTGCCCAGCTTGCCGTTCACCAACACCCCCAAGTCCTTTTCAGCAGAGCTGCTTCTCAGCCAGTCGGGCCCCAGCCTGTGTCATTGCAGGGGCTCGCTCCTTCCTGGGACAGGAGTTGGCATTTGCCCTTGTTGAATTTCAGCAGGTTCGTGTCAGCCCAGTCTTTTAGGCTCTCTAGGTCACTGTGGATGGCAGCTCTGCCCTTAAGTGCATCAACTGCATCTCCCAGCTTGGTGCTGTATGCAAATAGGATGCAGGTGTATTCCATCTCCCCTTCCAGGTCATTGGAAAAGATATTAAAACATCATTCCCGTTAACTTCAGTGTGGCAATGATTTCACTCTATTTGGGGTGGGGGGAGGAGGCAGCTGGGGGGGAAGGAGAGGGAATGAAATTTTAGAAAGTTTAGACAGATGAAAGATGCAGCTCTGAAATGATCAGCCTGTTTGGACACAGTAATGGCTGTGTAAGAAGCAACATGCAAAAGCAGCAACACTAACTTAGGTCAGAGGAACCAAGGAGGAGGAAGGGCTAAAAGCAGGGTCACCACCTGGGGCCTTGATATTTTAAAACACTAAATAAAAGAGGAGGTCGTTCATGTAAGTATTTCACAGCTGTCACACATTCACACACCTGCTTTCTAAAAAGAGTAATATTAACAAAGAAAACAGAAACAGTAACACATGTGAAACAGAGTATTAGTATGAATCTGAGGCCATCAACTTTCTCAGAGAAACAATACAGACATTATTGGTTAAGTTTTGGAACCAAAAACAAGTCTTTAATCCTGCCCTCCAAGTCCAGCAGAACATTAGCAATGTTACTACTACCTTGTTCAGCTCTGGAAGCACGTGGTCTTCTGACATCCTCAACATGGCTGAGGGAAGAATGATATTCTCACTTTATTAATATATTTTTTTCCTAATATTCTCATTTTTCCGTAAGTATGTAATAAGACACTTCCGACAATATAGGAAAGATTTATTTTTCAGAAACAAAACAGCCTGGAATGAAGGATTACAAATTGAGACTGAAATTAAGGCTCATCTGCCCCACTAACTTACAATACAAATCTTCACATAGTTTTATCTTCTATCCTTTTCATCTGCATTCCATCCTCTACAAGACTGAGGTTAAATTATTATAAAAAGGGTTCATAAGGATTCACGTCCCTACGAAGAGCAGTAAAATGAAAATATATATACCACACCGTTATATTGTGCATGGTAATACTCCTGAGCTAAGAGAATTGCAGAAAAGTCATTACAGTTCTCTGTTTAGTTTCAACAGAGGCAGAGTGATCACTTAAAGTGCTAACGTGACGACAGAGAACTCTGACAGTTCTGCTTTCTGCCATTTTTAAATTAAAATTATTATATTCCAGTTTGCAGGTGCTAACATAGCATTTCTGGTGCTTTTACAGTGACTGATAAGACCACTTTGGTTTTTGTAAAATAGTTCTAAAAATCAATTAAAATAATAAACATATTCATAACGACCTTATAAAAATAAGCAAGGCTAAAATATAAAGTTCCCTACTTCTTTCTAATCTTTAATCTGCAGCTACTCAGCTACAATCTGAAGTGACTATAACCTCTATCAGAACATTCAGAGCATGTTAACACCTGTGCACAACTCTAAATGCTAACTAGGTCTTCATGGGGAAAAAAACAGCAAGAGTGGCAGAGTAAAGACCAGTTAGACCATACTTTACCATTTGGGTAAACCATAGTCCTTTCCTTTCTCGAGTCAAGACCAGCAAACTGGTCATGAAGCAGAAAACAATTTGGAATAACATACTACAGGATAAGCATATAAAATACCTACATGTGTTCTAAACTCTGTGTATGTAAATTTGAGACCTGTCAATATTTAATATACAGATCATAAATTTATAATCATTCTTGCCCCAAACATAACCTTTTATATGTCCAGGAATTTTCTATGATAGGAATAAATAGATGGTTATACCTCAGATTGGCTTAACTACTTGTCAACATTTCAATGTTACCAAAGAGATACTGTATGCTTACTACATGTAATAAATCTTACCAACGTACAGCCATCGAAAAAACGCTTTGAAGTTTTTCATACTACTGTCGATAACCCTGTAGAATAAACAAAGAATGAAACTACCTGATCTATATGTCACAAGCTGCCCAGATTTCAGCTCCACCTTTATTAAAGACAGACCTGCAAGCGTTAGGAATTTTTAAAAAACGCTTAATGCATCCTTCACAGTAGGACTGTTCTTGGGATGTGATTCTGTGAGATGCAGTGAGGCAAGACTTGCTCTCCCATCTTCCTCTCCTCCCAGCCACGTGCTTCCCCATAGATACAGGACTTAACAGGCTTTTAAAAAAAAATGAGAAATTCTCTAGGCCTTATACTTACTGAAGCAGCTCATTTGCTTTCAGGATGAAAGAACCAACAGCAGTAATAGCATCTACAAAGAGAGCAAACCATTACCACTAAGCTTTCAAAAGTAAAATCAGAGTGGGTATAAATAGAGCACATACCTTCAATTCCAGATGCATCTAATCCCAGAGACTCATATTTTTGTTTCCATAAAGCCATTCCTTTCAATTCACTCAAGTGGTATAACAGCGCCTCAGAGCCACTAGGAAGGCAGAGCAAAGAAGCATCTTCTTTTAGTCAGCCCTTCGGAAACTCATTACTTCACTGCATACTACATTTTTATTATTAAATGGGTGAAGTGGGAAGTTTTATAAAGCGGTATGGCATATAAAGGCTGTTTACGGATGAAAAAGTATTACTTCACAGAAAAGCCTAATGATTTTCAACACCACCCAAAGCTCAGGTGAATGTTTTGCCTGTCCCCGACACGAACACTAGCCAGTGATATAGAGCTGGTATTTCATAGAGATTGCTCCAAGTACGTTCAATAACTCTCCCAGCACCCAAAATTAAAGTAGCACATTTTGCATCACCACAGTCTCCACACCTACACACACAGAACCACTGATACAGCATAAATTATTTCATCCAAGCACGTAATATGCCAATTTATCTCTAATTCACTGGATATCTCGTGACTTACCTCTGCAAATGACTTATGACCAATTTTTGTATACTGGAGTAGGAAGACTCTATGGACTGACCAAGTTTCTTTAAACCCTGTTAAAAAATGTTAACGTATGTTAATATAACAGAATATTAATTAAAATATATTGAAATATATGATTTGAAAATTTCAAAAACTTTAACATACCTTTACTGTCAGTTGGTTCATTAATAGCGCCTGAAGTTCCAGACTAAGCAGGGGACGAAGAGGAGAATAGAAGCAAACATGCTTTCATTTTGTATTTCAACTTCAAACGCAAACGCATACTCGGATAAAACAACAGTAACTACCTTGCTTTGCCCCATAACAACAGCTGCATAAACTCATCCTGAACAGAAGTGGTTGTATTCTTTTCCTGCCAGTCAAAATGATTGGAATAGATTGGTAAAGAGATTAAATTCAGTCTACTAAATAATCTCACAAATACCTCATTTAAAGTATATAGGAAAATAAACCCATATCCCTGAATGCTGAAATCAGACTACTGATCACTGGAAACTCAAAGACTAAGAGTCAAGTAATTTTTAAAAGTTATTTTCAGCTGTACTCCCTACTAAAAATTCTAAGCAGTTTACCATCCCTCAGAACCTATGTCAAAAAAAAAAAATTACTTGTTTATATTTACTTCTAGCCATGATCAATGATCACAAAATGTAAGCCAACTCAATACCATATTAATCATGGCTCTGTTATACCTGCTCTGTTGAACCAGGCTACAAGCGTTGGTGGACTGCCACTCAATATTTATAGTAGTCAGCCTGTGAGTAACTGAACTACAAAGAACACAACCTTAAATAGAAAACAACCGATCAATAACTGTGCAAGTTATTGTTTTTGGAAAATTTGGAATAAATATTGTGCTATTCCTGTATTTTATGATCATGCTTTACTATATTCAGGTATCTTCAGCTTCAGAGCAACTGACATGCAACAGCTTCTGGGTTGCCTCTGAACTTAAGAGATTGCTATCTGGAGGCATTAAACTTAAACAAACAGCATTAAAATATGAACTATGTTAACACTAACAACAGAACTACTGCAAAAAGTGTATTTCTACAATACCTGTACAAACTTTGTTAGCCGTGAATCCATCTGCATCAATATTTCTTCCCAGGCCTCACACATGCATGTCAATGATAACTTTATATACTGTAATACAGATACAAACATTAGTCTTATTACTTCCCCCTGCATTCCAATACACATTCAAGAACAGGTTGTTACAAAATGAGGAGGAGATACACTGTACATATCAAATTTCCAAGTCAGAGCTGTACATTAACTTAACATTTATTTCACTTGTGTTAAGAAGACTGAAGTTTGTAAGAATTGTGATATTAAAAAGATGTCAAAATAAAATTGTACCTGTAACAGAGTTGAAATGTGAGTAAATTTCCGGGCCATTCGAGTTACCTCAGGTAAGTAACTTGATAAGAGACTAGTGTTCAGCTATAACAAACAAAACAAATAACAGTTAACAGATTATTCATCTCTAAAGAAATTTTAGACTACAGAAATGGAAAGACAGATGGGGAGGAACCCACAAAAAGCTGTCTTTTCTCATTTCCTTAAAGTTGGTTTTAAGACAGAAACACATCCTAAGTCAAAGCAGCACAAATATTTTTGATACATCTACAAAAACTCTGACAAAGATTCTACATTTTGGAATCCTTACAGTAACAGTTTTAAGAATGGCTGTTCTGGATAGCCTTGATAATCTACTGCATTGCTGCTATGTCTTTGTGCGCAGAATGAAGAAAATCTGAATAAATATAAATATAATTGAATAAATTAACGTTATATTTAAAGTAATATTTTAAAGAAATGCCTCAGACCTTCGTCTTCTTCAGTCTCATCAGTGAGACTGCAAAGTAATGTGATAAATCCAAAAGCTAAATTGAGGTGAATTTTAGAAAGACTGAAAATAGTAGTTTGTAGTTATCCTGCAAATAATGGGAAAATAATAGTTACCCGAAAGTAAAGAAAATAAACAACTTTTTTACTCTTAAAGAGCATTTTAAACTTATTTTACTTGCCTGAAAATATGTCATCTCTGCTTCACTGTCTGGAGAGTCTTGTATCTCTGTAATAACTGACAGTGATTTCAAATCACTAGACAAACATAAGCCACGACAAGAACCTGCCACCTGAAGGATTCAAGTTTTAAAGTTAATGAAATACTGTATTTTCTCAATGATGTATAGCATATTCACCTACAAAGGCAGCTGCATTGCATTACATGTGAAAATCAAAATTAAATTTTCAACTACTGTTCAGAAATTAAAGCATCCTTGTTCCTGTGGATTAGTTGAATTAGTTTGTTTCATTTGAAACAGGACCTTAAGCTCTCCAGCTTTTCCAATAATAAACAAACCAACCAACCAAGACAAACAAAACATTCCTTTCTTTAAACTTCAACACTCCAGTTTCACTTATGTGTAAGCATACATCTATTGTTTTATCCAATTCAGCTGTATTTTAGTATATTTTGAAGAAAAATCCATGGGGAGGAAACGAACGTACCCCAGTTACTGTAGCGATTCTGAACATTCCGTAAGCATAAATCTCAATAAATCCTGAGCTGCCACCAAGAACAAGAGCATTGAGCCTATAAAATGAGAAGAATATGAGTTGATGAGCGTATCAAAAAAAAAAAAAATTGCCAATTTTTCTCTCCAGACTATCAGAAATCACATCTCTCTGTCAGTTTCTAATGCATACAAATACAATCCTTAATATTTAAATACAAGCCCGTTAGCAAAGATACCCTACTGAATCACTGAAACAAAAAGAAATACTGTACTGTATATACGACTATTAGCTTGGATTGCATTAATACGACCAGCCTCTAATATATATAGAAAGCATTATCAGTTATTAAATGAACTGATAGAATGGAAGAAAAAAAAAAAAGACAAAATTTAGGCACAAAAGTCCTTCACTAACTTTAGTCCTTGCAGAAGGAAAAGGTAACAGTTTCTAGCAACAGTCCACTTTCCAACACAGACCACAAAGCTGCTTTTGTAATCTACTGATTCTATCCTAATTACACGCAGAATGAGTTTGTGGCAGTCACTCCACGGCACTTCTCAGCTCAGCCTCAAAGGCAATAACATTTAAAACAGATGTAGCAGCTAAAACAGATGTCACAGATAACAACAGTACTAGAGACAGAAAAAATGAATAGGACCTGGGATAGAGAGATCTGTGTTTTGCTCGCTTTTTAAAGCTGACTTGCTATCGTAACTTGGAAAAAAGCTTCTCTGTGCCCTCTCCCTTTGCTTCTACATTTAAAATATGAAACTTTGGACAGGGAGGTTGCCTATTGCTGTCTTACGCCACTACACCTTTAACTACCCATATCTGCTGACATTACAGTGAACACTAATGCTCTCCAACACGAAATGACAATGTTTTACATGTCCCCTTATAAACATCAGAAAATTAAATGCACTTGCTGCTTATTACACAAGTAATTACGTGTAAAAAGAGAATGTTTCCATTAAAACAAATATAGAACTTAGCAAAGCAGTATTCAGAAAGCTTTTGGTCTGTTTAATTGGATGGATGAAAGCACAGAATCAGGAAAGCTCCTACAACAAACACACACAGCTATTTTTTTTCCCTAGTAAGGAAGTCCTACTATAAGAAGAGAAAGTAAGTCTTAAAAAGGAATAACTGGTGACAGTATAGAGATGTAGATTTTGAAACAAGGGGTATGATTTTCAGTGGAGGGTCTGCAAAGGACAGTAAAAGAAAACAAACAGAAAAACAGACAGTTAAGTGTCCTCCTCTAGGCTGCATGGCAAGCGCTTAGCAAAGCTAATCTCTGCCTGCTAAAAAACTAAACCTCATCCAACTGCTCCTCATGTGTTCCCTACCAAAAGATCCCTAGTTATTTTAAAGTAACCCCAATACAGTCGACTTCAGTGTTTGTGTTAAGTTTAGCTTTGTCACACTCATGCAAATCCACAGAAATTCCCTATCTGGAATAACAAGAATTCACAATGTTTCCAAGATCAGCCTAAGTAACACATACAACATTCCCTTCAAATGCAGACCAAGAAATCCTTTTCTAAGGAAAAGGACCTGTGGTAGCAACAGCAGTTGCTGATAGTGTGCCAGGCAATCCCTCTAAATTGAGAAGGGAAAAAAAGGTGGAAACTGAGGAAGACTTTTTTTTAATATATGTTCTTCTTTGCACATGAAAAAAAAGGAAGTATTCCACATCCTGTCTCCTGAACCATGAAAAATGGGTTATTAATAACTTAAAAGCAAAACTATCCATTATTTTACAATTAAAAACAAACAAACAAACAGAATTTACCTTACATCACCCAGAAGCTTCATAATCTCATCTGACTTTTCTTCACTGAAAACAAAAAAATATGACTGGGATTTATGTGGCTTGTCTCAGTAACAGAAAGCAAAAAAAAACCAGAGAGATATAAGATAACACTTTCTCACCTGAAGATTTTTGCAGTGGTGCTATAACTGAAAACAAAATAATTATTCTCAGTAACAATGAACAGACATGTAATCCACAGCATTTATACAGCATTAAAGATGAATAACCAAAACAATGACAACAAATGATAAATTAATCTTTGTAGTGTAATGCTTACTTTTTTGGTAGCGGAGGTAATTTAGGCAAAAGGAGATTTGACTCATCCTCAGCATTGTAAAAGGAAGTGAGAACACTGAAAAAGAAGTATGATTGTCTTACCATCAAAGTTATAAAAAAGAGAAAAAAAAAGAAAATTTCTTTCTACCTTCAAAAGCTCTCTACAGCAGAGATTCAAATCATCACGTATGTTAATGAGCTGCAAATCTCACAGGCCAATCCCTTACGTATCCTTCAGTAATTTAATTTATCAAATTAACAAATTAATAAAAGAAGTCTGATAATCTAGTTTTATTTTCACCAAAGGAGAATATACAGCTTTTATTTGCTGGCTCAGTAGCTCGACACCAACTCCTCCATAAATTATCTGAAATGTACATATGACAATGGGTCTCTGTTTAAACTCAACCCCACCCCCACTGCACCTGCGCCTCAAACAAACTTCAATTTAAAGATACATGTCACAGTATGAGGAAGACTAAAGCACAGTACTTAACACCACAGCTTAGACATGCTGGAAGGATGAGATTCCCTATAAGCAGACAAATCCATCCCCATGAAGAGAAAAATGCTAGACTGATTTAAGATGCATTTATTTTCTTACCACGTTTAGATTTGTACTTTAAGGAGGAGAGAATTCCCAAGTGAGGCCCCCTCCCTTTTTCTAATAAATTTTTAATTATGGTCTTGCACTGCAACGAGGTACATATCAGATGGTTTTGTGAGATCACAGAAACAGGGACCACAGTGCCCGCGAGCTCACAAGTGCTACTGAGAACTGCGTAATGACACACGCTCACAGTCACTAGGAGCGCTGTGACATCCTGAAGCAACTGTACCCATCATAGAACCGCCAATGGATTAGGATGTAAGAACAAAGGCAAAACGTGAAAGGAGCAAGCACCCTACCAAAGCACCGAAAACACTAATGAAGATTTAAATATAATGCTCTCCCCAATTAACAAAGCAGATGAATATAACAACATTATTACAATTAGTTTAATAAATTAACACATTAGTGGGTATCAAAGTAAACTGGATCAGGAGGCAGGCTGTACAACAATACATCAAGTTACCACTAGATTAAGCAAGCTCTTAACAGGTGGATGCTCAACGTCTTACTGAAATATTTCTGGCATAAACTAAAAGAACCACAAGACTAAGACTTCAGCACTACAAATAAGCACATTAAGAAGTATATTCTAATAAAAAGGGAAAATTTTAACAAAGTGGTGAGGAAAAAGACAGCATTCTTTTATTTAGCCACTTGTAACACACTAACTGTAAATTATTAGTAAGATAGTACTGCACAGCCTATGTTTATGTGCAGAGTTTTTCAGACCTACCTGCTTTCTTCGGTTACTTCCATCCAATGCATGTAAGTAATAGAAGAGTCCACTGCAAAGGAGTGTAAGCTTTCAGGTTTTTCTACATCACACAGAATAATCCGCTTGGTATCAGTTAGGCCAAAAGCCAAAACTAGAGAAGAAAACGTAAAATATATAAATAACCAACATGCAAAACTTTGTATTTTCTTTATGCGGGACTAGAAAACAGTGTTCCTTCAAAGCCTACTACTGGACATCTAGTTGTCTCCTTGTCTTTTATCTACTGTGCTTCCAAACTCTAACTTGAAACCTACTCACTGGCACTTCTAGCATACTAGCACTCCTAGGTTTGAACTCCTAGCATATTTTTAAGTAACATATTTAGGTCAAAAGTCTGATCCTACAATTATTTATCTGCATGCTGAACTGAAGTACACACTTCTAACTACAGGGCCTCAGTTTTTGCAAATTTAAGGCTGAAATACATTTAAAGACCATTCAACAGCAGTTTTGGTTTTATTATAACAAAGTAAAATTGTAGACTTGCTGAACAACATTTGCATCGCTACCTTTTTTACCTCTATTTATCTATAAAAACATACGGCAGGCATACGTTACTGCATCCACTTCCTTGTAATCACAGGCAACTAGCTTAAAAAAAAGTTTCTTAAATTCCAACGTAAAACTAAACAGGTAGTACTTGCTCACGTCTTATCAGAATATTGTTCCCATTCTCACTCTTCCAATGGGTCCAAAAAAAAATCAAACTACTTTCCAACATATACTTATTAAGCTACTAATTTCAATGTTATCTCCATCTGTAAGACATTACTGTCTTGACAGACCTTATTCTACCAAGGAAAGAGGTTTTTTTACCTTCTCTGGCATAATATTAGAGAGCAATTTTCACCTCTAAAATTTAGCCTTTGACTAAAGAAGCCAGGCTCTTCAGTCTGTCCTGATTTGTCTCTATTCTCCCAATGAATTTTGTAGTACACGTGAAAATATTCTGCTTAGTTATGAACTGGAAGCTTTGATATACCTTGGGAAGTAATATTATTGGACATAAATTCACTTTGCCAATCTTTCTTGCAATTGCCTTCAGCAGTGTATCCTTCCTTATAGCTTTGAATAAACCTACATAAAATTAAGCTACCCTTTTCTTCAAATACAGTTTACTTGAAAATTTCCTTCAGAGACAAGAGGTATCATCACCACAACTTGCACTGATTTCCAACAGGATTTTTATTGCAACATGTCACCTCATATACTTCACATTACTTTTGCCATCCGGTCTCCAAGCAAGTGCAGTCACTTCTTTTCCTGTATTTTCATTTGGAGGCAAACTCCAAACTCGTTGGAAGTTTGCAAGCCGATGAAGTAAAACCTGAAAAGCAAACACATGAAGGATTAAAAAAAAAAAAATTATTCCCCCGTTAATTGTAGCTTGTAAATCAAATCAAGATGAAAATTTTTACTTTTCTTTAATAAGTCCTACATCTCAAGTGGTGTCGTCTTCTCTAGCAGAGGAGTCACTCCTAGGTCATTTTACAGGACGCTGCTCGCAAGGCAGCAACAGAGAGACAAACTGTGCCCTCTACAGACCTAGAAGCCTGCAGCCAACACAGGTTCTCTCTCCTTCTCCAACACCACGTCTCCACCCCTGAACACAACCACCACTTCCAGGAAAAAAAACACTGCAAAACTGATGTAACTGAAAAAGGGGCCCTTTAAAACTGCACAGATGCAGGCACTGAGAGTCTCACTGCTGAACGCGCCTGGCAATTTGAACAAGGCAACGAATAACAAGCAATAAGCAGCTCGACGAACATTTTTTGTTATTGGTAATTCTTGCAAGCTTGGCCAAACGCTTATGTCACGGGTAAGGGAAGCAGCGCCTGCACACGACCACGCAAAGGCGGCAGCGCTTCCCCTCGCTGCTCAGGCCCTCCCGCCTGCCGCCGCGCAGGCCCCAGGCGGCCGCCCC